TATTTTTTTAACTAATGTTCACCCAGTACAAGGTAGAGGGTTACTGTTGCATTAGTGTAAGAATGGAAGAGAAGTGAAGTTCTTGGGGCTATACAAGAAAGATAACATAACTCTAGACTTGAAGAGGTCAAGATTTAATCAGTGAATAAAATTTCAAAGTTCAAGTGAAGACATTAGGATTATAGAGTTGAAGTAGACTTTAGAAGGAACTGAAAACCAAAACTGGAAACAATGGATAAACCTCTACTCCTTTTCAAAAGATTAGGGAGGTGTGTAAACCAGATGATAGGTGAACCTATCCTTTTATAACTAATATTAGTAATAATTATTATTGGGTTATATTAATGTTTATTGTATTTATAATGAGGGGTAAAATGTATAGCATACTATTATTTTGTAAGGGGGGGTGCAAAAAATGTACTGTACATCACAATACATACATCATTTTATTCACTATGATATTTAGACATGTATACACAATATAATTGGTTTAGGTAAATATGTCTTAAGTTGTGCAATGTATATCTCATCTCTCAATGGTTGATTTGTACTGAGGTTAAATTGTGTCCATACTTTCATAACCCAAACAAGAGTCAACATATGGCTGTATATAAGAAACAAGTTAAACTATAAGCAGTAAGCTGCTTTTTGACTTACTGCAAAAATGTTAGTAGATTCATCTTGAAGATCATTGTTAGTGTTGTTAGTGTGATTCTTACCAAGAGCTTCAACATTATGATCATTTCGGACTGAGATAAAGTTGATTTTATTACTGATTAAAAAGGAGAGAGAAATATCCTTGATAGAGCATTATCACCTCCAGTCATTATTTTAATAAGAACAGCATTAAAATAAAATCATTTAAAATGTTATAGAGATATATTATAATACCACTATTTATACAAATATTTGTATGTTATCCTGTAGCAAAGTAATTATATATATATATATATATATATATAATTTAAAGATAATTCCTCCATGTCATATCAGCTGAAGATGATATACCAACAGAGATATTGGCTTACAGACAATAGCCTAAATAAACAATGACTTCAGTTATTCAAAACTTCCTATCCCCAAAAGTTTCAGTCAGGTAATCAAAGACATCAAAAGCTGAAACTTTTTGAAAGGTGGCCAAAGAATATGTGAACATATCGCTCTGAGGGGGAAGAAGAAAAAAAAAAACAAAAACAAAAAAACACTCTTCAACAGATCTCAATTTTGACAGCTGGTTTACTTAAATCTTGGGAAATTTTTAAAACAGACAGTAAAATAGTGATTCTATATGATTTAAATGTATATTTTACCAATACACAAAAGACAAAGTTCCTCCTTACACAAATTGTATATGAAAATAAAATAGGCAAGGCACTGAAACTTTACTGTCCAAGCTTATATAAAAAAGAGCATAATGTTGCCACAAAAATTTGTCACCAACCTTGCTAGCACAATTTAAGGGTCTTCCACTTGAAGCTTTTAATAACACATTTATTGTGTTATTTTGATATTTCAGAGTTGGCCTTCAAGAAAGACAGAGCGAAATTTAAAGTGGAGGGGGGGAATGTAGGGGAGTGATGTTGCTATATCTGTTTTCAGTTGTTTCTCATCGTATTTAATCCAAAATGAAATCAAATAGCCATGTGACCAAAACTACAGATTTAAACTTTATAGTGAGACTTCTACTTAAAGTAGGTTTGTAAATTCAGTTTTTTTTTTAAAACAAATCTCCCACTTACCAAATCTTTTTTGATGTCTCAAATCCACTTCAAAATGGAACAAAATGTTAAAAAAAAAAAATAAATAAATAAAAATAAAATAGGGGCTCTATTAGAAAATTAAAGTTTTTCTTTTAAGAACTTGTTAAATACATTTTCAGAAAGCATTAGCCAGATGAATAACTGTTCAGAAATTTAGAGGTCTACTATCAGTAACATTGTAAACATTTAACTTCTAATATTCATCATCATTATTAATATACACGCACACAAAGTGTCCATCAGCTGGCAACAAAACATTGGCTCCATTTTCATCTTAATGAATAATGCATCAGAATCAGCAAGACAAACTCATGAGTTATGTTACCGGAAAATTATGAAGATGTATCGAAAGCTACTTCATATTTTGTTGCAATAATAATTCCAGTAACAGAATTGCAGTTGGCTATTTGAATTCCAAATTCATACTTTGACCAAATTTGCTGTGAGAAGGCATTTATCTAAGGTTTACTCTTCAAGCAAATACATTCAAATAAAAGACACTTTATTATGGCATAATAGTCAACAAGCTGAACATATAAAATATGAGTAGTAAGTTCAATCCTCAGTGGGTGCTTCATATTTGTAGCTTTGTGCCAAAATTAAGCTAGGCTTATCAAATACGCTAAAGCAATAAGGGGTCTGGGGTTGAGGAAAAATACAGCCAAGTATAAGAAATAAGTATATACTTGATAGAATTCTTTTAAAAAATGATATAATAATTAATGAGAAACTGAGGTCTGTATTTGATATTATATATATTCAAATCTTGCTTACATAAATTCATAAAAAAATAATGCTATAGAAGTTTTTAGTTTTGGGATAATACTTTGTGCACACAAAGCAATGACATCAGAAAAGTGTGTGTGTGTATAAAATATACACACTTTGTACTAAATTAATATTGGCATCATCAGCAGGGAAAAGATTTCTGTATCCACTTTTTTATTGGAGCAATGACTAATTTTTCTTTTAGCTTAAGAGAAATGTACATTACACAAGTCACCAAATATATTAGCCACAGCCTACAAAAAGTAAGGGAGACAATTCAATTTTCTTGCTTAACAAATACCAGACGATTTAAAAAAGAAAAAAAAAAAGAAAAAAAAAAGTTTTATCACCATTTTTAGTGATTCCTTCAGACAGAAAAGTCTTGTTAATTTCATTAGATTTATTTCCTTTTCATTGCTCCAGTTCACTTGTACAGTAAACGGGACTGAATTGTTTGAACCATTTAATCTTTATAATACATGGGTAACTAGATTTTCTGCTACTACTCAGAAGACAAGATCTTTTTTTTCTTCCACATAAGACAATGGTTTTGTAGAAAATCTTTATCAAAAGGAATTAATGGAACCAATAATATCTCTGCCATATTATAAACTAATAAAAATGGTTTAAAATACATTTTTTCTTTTTAAAATTAACTTAGAAGTGCAAACAACCTTTGCAAAAAATTTAAGGAGATATTTACTATCAAATGTTGAAGATAAAGAGAAAAGCATATAAAAGAAATTCATTTGCCCCTTGTGCAGTTATAAAATTTCTTTTTACAATTCCCAAATTGACTATTTTAGAAACTTTATAAAAGAAAAAAAATGTGCTTATCCTTAGACAATTCGAATTTGACTTCCCAGCACCACCACCCTCATTTGCCTCATATTTTCCACACCTTAAAAAAAAAAAAAAAAAAAAAAAATAGGGAGATAAGGAGGGAGCTATTTTTGAGATTTTACCCACACTTAACATATTTCTACATGTTTCTGCAGCAAATAATTCTTTTAAATAGAAATGAAAGGTAAAGTCCTTGAAGATGATATGAAAGAAGTAACCACAGGAAATGATTCGCATTTTATAAAGGAATCATCTACAACCATTTGGGGAGCAAATAGGTAACAGAAATAAGTAAAACTAATTGTTCTTTTTACTTACATGCTGTTTTGTTTATTTAAAAAAAATACAAGAAATCCTTAAGACAATTGCATTCAAATTTTCTAAGTTTGTTTCAAAAGAATTTAAATTTGCTGATGAAAATAAATAAAAAGTGAATGGAAAAATTTATCAATCTTAATTCAATTTTGGATTTTATGAATAAGCATTTTAATATTTACTCCCTCAAAGGAATGACTTAAAACAAAAATATATACATATTTAATAACAGTTCTGACTTAGTAGGTTGCAAAATGAGTTATTAATCTTTCACTTCTTTTTCTTAATAAATAAAAGTTAATGTGTTTAGTAAAAGTTGGCTATGGTTGATACTATTGTTGTTGTGTAGATAGTAAGAATATAGACTTCTGGGTAATTAGTTTTATTTTATATATAAAAAGACATGGAAAATTTAATGAATATTCTTAAAATGTTTAAACAAGGAGCTAGAACAAAATCATCTTGTATTGTGTATAACTTTATTTTATATCATGTAAAAAATAAAATGTTGAAATCTGGAAACAAAAGACAGTAAGTTTATTGGCATATTACATATTTCTTTTTTACAACTTTGAAAGTTGCTCCTCAAATGGTTGAATCTGTGAGAGATGATAGCTATTAGACCAAATAACTTTTAAATTATATATGCACTCCCTACTAAATTTTACATGAAAAATAGGCAATCTATTTTGGTAATGGTTAGTATTTCTTTTTTTCTTTCTTTCTTAGTGTCTTTCAAAAGCGTGTGTGTGGGTGGGAAGAGAAAACTCCAGCATATTAAGAGAAAATTTAATTTTTAAAAACTAACAATCTTCAGCTGAAGTTTCAAATAAAGATCCATTTTAGTTAATGAAATTCTTGAAGCAATACTTAGAACAAGTCAAAAGTGTATTAAAAAAAAAAAAAAAAAAAAAAAAAAAAAAAAAAAATTAAAATTGCAGAAAAATACTATTTGTATAATATATCAAATTTTGGAATGTTGACATCTTTTTTTATTTCCTGTGAAAAGGATTTTTCCGCATTTTTTTTTTTTTTGAAATACAATTTTTTGTTGTCTATTGTGATTGGAGAATGATACAGCATTTTTTTTTCCTTTTAATATAAAAACAAGCCCAAATTTATCCTCCCAACTTATGTACAATGAAACAAAAATAAAAGTTGAGAATGAAGTGGTAGTGTCAGTTATTGAGTGTGGAGATAATAGAGCTCATTTTTGTTTTTTAATTTTTTATCATCATCAGATAACAGGATGCTTAGAGTAAGCAGAGGCTTGGGCACCAGGTGAGAGGAAGATATTTAGACAAAAAAATGTCCTCAGTCATCATCTTTGTCCTTCTTTCCATGTTTGAGGATCCGGGTGAATTCAACATAATCAAAGTTACCATTTTTAATAGGTGCTTCCCTAAATATTTCATCCACCTGAAAAACAAAATTAAAATATCTAAATTAAAGAAATTAAAAAGGGTGGCATTTTTTTTTTTTAAAACTCAATTTCTTAGATAACAAATTGTTACTACTATACATTAATTATTCCAGATCATTTTTTTTATTTTACTTATATACATGGTGCAATGGGAAAATTGTCACCCTTTTACATTTTTTTAATTTTGTACATCCACGTTGTATGTTTTTGATTTTATCAACTGCACAGCATAGTTGGGTCAATTGAGCACCATGATGCAATTCACTCCACCAGAAATTTGGAAATGGCATGCTCTATTGCTTGGTATTCATGCTAGAAGCTCCAATACAAACATTGGAGAGTGTTTGGGTGTCAAATCTTAGGACAGTGTAGAGGTTTCAGAAAGAGTCGGAAGAGTCTAATTGTGATTATGAAGGTGTTTGGAGTGATCACTATTGATGGCAATATTATGCCTCCACTCATCTTCCCAGAGGGCCTCAGACTCAACATGGAGGCCTATATCAAGTGCCTTGAGGAGATAGTACTGACCTGGATCAAGAGGCTGGCTGCTAGAAGACCTCATGTCTGGCAACAGGACTCATCACCATAACACACAAGCAAGAGAACCCAGGCATGGCTGTCAATCAATTTCTACGACCACATCACCCCTTACATCTGGCAAACCTAACTCCCCAGACTGCAACCCCCTTGATTATTATGCGTGAGGCGCAGTTGAGCAAGAGACCAACAAAATTCCTTGTAATACCAAAGATGAACTGAAGGCAAGGATTATGGCAGCATTCATCAACTTAAACAAGGAGACTATCCAAAAGAGTTGGAGATTCTGAAGTTGTCTGAAGGCCCTGGTTGAAGTCAATAGCAATTTTATTGAATAAATTTAGTTTTTAGTATTTCAGGATAGTTTTGTGCAATTTTGGTAATTATATCAGTTAAAATGAGACGTCAGTATTATTTTCATTTTTGTGTAATTTAAACAATTTATCCATCACACCATGTTTTTCTCATTTTTTTTTTTTACTGGTTTTTTTTCTCATATATAACTTAAAATCATACATGTTAAAAAATACTCAATTTCAAGTAAGAAAACCAGGTTTGCAGAGCAATTTAATATCTTAAAATGATAAGAACACTGACCAGAACAATACCACGGTTTTGACTGCCAACATCATATCAGGTGGTTTTGTTCAGCGAATCAGAGGCAATGCAAGAACTTAAATGCCTTCATTTGACATCAGAAGCAATGGGGAGATTTGTAGTTTGGAAAAAAAATAATAAAGTGAAAGAGAGGGAGAAAGAAAAAAAAATTCCAACTTTATCTAGGCTTATATAGCCCCAAAATTAACTTCCTGATGTGTCTACATTTGGCCATAATTTCAGACCTTCCATTCAAGGACAGTGCCAGCTTTGTATATTGCAATAGCTAGCTTCTGACACAGCCTACATGAGTTGCCATTCACTTTGCTAGCCATTACATTCTGTAAAATGCTCCATTTAATGCCCAGGCTTGTTATTTTTTTTCCCCCCTAAAGCTCCAATAGTGATTTGCCAGCTTTGTATTAAACTTGCATTCTGGTATTCTAAATAATGAGGACATTTAATGGACAATTATTTTTTATCCTACAATTACAAAGAAACTCGTTTTCACTTCTCATGTCCTATTCAAGATTTGAATTTTTTGGTTCAATCTTTTAATAATATTACCTATGTTGCTAGTGCAATTATATATATATATATATATATATATATATATATATAAAAAAATTTATTTTTAGTAACATTTACATTCATTGGATTCAAACATATTCTCTTGCAGGTAAACAGGAAAGTGAACTAAAAAAAAAAAAAAAAAAAAATGTAAATATTCCTAAAATTTAAATGCATATACATTTGACTAGTCTTAAAAAAATAAAAAATATACCCTCTATAAAAAAAATTGATGTTTTTATATATATATATATATATATATATATATATATATATATATATATACACGTGTGTGTGTCAAAGTTAAACCATATTTGACTAGTATTTTTTTCGTTTTTAATTTAGTAGTTTTACTAGAACTGCCATTCTACAGTTATTTCTGATATACAAAAAGTAATGAAATGACAGCATGATTAGTTCTGATGAAAAACTAAAATTAAACTGAAATAACATTCATAAATTAATAAATGGTTGACAATGCTTTATCTAATAAAATTAGATTACTTACATCCTCATCAGAGAATCGGTCACCCATTGTCGTCAGCAGCTCTCGTAGTCTGTCTTCATGAATAAAACCTGGAAGCATAAAAATAAAGTCTTATTTTCTTTTCAACTGAGCTATTCTAACAATTTTATATATTACATACTGTAGTGTATACCTACCTGTGTCATAATCCAAAAAGCAAAAATATTGAACAAAGCTTTACTCAATTTGAAAGATCAAACAAAAGATGTTATGAAAACAAGCTTGCCTGTCTCATTTCCACCAGTTTTTCATTTTCTCTACTTTTCATCCCCCCCCCAATCCTGTTAGGTGGAACTGAACAGATAAGCAATTTAAATTACATGTGTCCCTGTGCCAAAAAGTATATATATGTACCCAGTGAGTATTGAACTTGCTGCTCAATAGAAATGGTCAACCAGAGTAGGTTCCTAACCATTACCACACCATAAACTTTGTTGTTTACTAAACTAAGCTAAAGTACAATACTAAAAGGATGGAGTACTCAGTGAGGAGCTAACTCCTGACTAATTACACCACAAGGAGATAACCATATATAGATAAGCAGTTGATGGTGTATATATATATATATATATATATATATATATATATATATATATATATATATATATATAGCTGTGCAAAAGTAAATGAATCTCTAAAATAATATTTTTAAAAATAGTCTCCTTTTCCAGGTGATCAACAAATCTTAAACTATATATTCATTAAAAAAAAAAATAACTCAATTGCAACCACTTCCAAAAAATTTTATCAAGCTGGAATAAAAAATATTAATTCAATATAAGATATGCAAAAAGTAAGTGAACCCTTATATTTAATACTTAGTGACTGCTCTTTTTGAGGTTACAATGTCAGTCTATTTCTCTCATTTTTAAACACCCAAAATTACTGTTTGGGTTCTTTGCTTGCACTGCCTTTCATTTGAATCACAGATTTTCAATTGGGACTTATATTTTCTATTTATGAACCCATTCTTTTGTGGACTTGCTTTGATGCTTCAAGATCATTGTCTTGTTTCCAGCACCAACCTAAACCCAACTTTTAAACCGAGGACAAGAGACTTTCATTCAAAATTACTTGGTATCTTGCCGTCAATGTATACTATTTTGTCTGTTCCAGCTGCAGCGAAGCACCCCCAAATCACTGCCATATTTAATGGTTGGTAGCAAATTCTTCTCTTCAAATGCTGTATTAAGAACTCACCAGATATACCACTTCTTGTTCCTCCCAAAAAGCTCTAGTTTCGTCTCATTTGACCATAAAAGTTCTAGCTTATTAATATGAGCCTTGGCATAGTTGAGGCAAGCATTTGGCTTTTTCTAGGTATTCTACCATGAAAATCAGCATTGTTCAGAGTTTGTTGTATTGTAGATGTATGCACATTCTGACATTGGCCAGTGAGCTTTGGAGAACTGCAAAAAGTCATAGCAGGATTTGCCTGGATGCGCCTAACTAGATGTCTACTTGCTCTTGCTGTTATTTTATTGCAGACAGCCACTTCTTGATTGTGATGCTGTCTTCCATTTATAAATAATTAGTTGCATGGTGAAGAAGTGCACTCCAAATCATTTTGATAGATTTTTGTAGCCTTTTCCATCATTATAGGTTTCAACTACAAGACTTTTTAAAGCTACAGGAAATTCTTTTGATCTTCGCATATAAAATCTTTGCATTTTAAATTTAGTATCTCACTGCACACTTTTGCATACACAATGAGTTATATTGTTTGAGTGCAGTATACACAGCTTACCAAAAAATGAACACATATCATTTTGATTATTACATGTGCACAAAAAATTATTTTCACTGGCAACCATGTAAAACAGTAAATGTAAGGGTTCACTTACTTTTGCACATTTTAATTAATATTTTTATTCCAGCTTGATGAAAATCTTTGACAGTAATTCATTTAATAAAAGGATTTCTTAGTGAACATATAATTTAATTTAGATTTGTTGATTATCTGCAAAAAAGAAAAAAGAAAAAAAAGAAAAAAAAAAAAAGAAAAAAAGAGAAAAAAGAGAAAAAAAAAGAGAGAAAAAGAAAAAAAAAGAAAAAAAAGAAAAAAAAGAGAAAAAAGAAAAAAAAGAAAAAAAAGAGAAAAAAGAAAAAAAAGAAAAAAAAGAGAAAAAAGAAAAAAAAGAAAAAAAAGAGAAAAAAAGAAAAAAAAAAAGAAAAAAGAAAAAAGAAAAAAAAAAAAGAGAAAAAAAAAGAGAAAAAAAAAGAGAAAAAAGAGAAAAAGAGAAAAAGAGAAAAAAGAGAAAAAAAGAAAAAAAGAGAAAAAAGAGAAAAAAGAGAAAAAAAAAAAAAAAAGAAAAAAAAAAAGAGAAAGAAAAAAAAGAGAAAAAAAGAGAAAAAGAGAAAAAAAGAAAAAAAGAGAAAGAGAGAAAAAAAAGAAAAAAAGAGAAAAAAAGAGAAAAAAAGAGAAAAAAAGAAAAAAAAGAAAAAAAAAAAAAGAGAAAAAAAAAGAGAAAAAAGAGAAAAAAAGAAAAAAAAGAGAAAAAAAGAAAAAAGAGAAAAAAAAAGAAAAAAAAAGAAAAAAGAAAAAAAGAGAAAGAGAAAAAAAGATAAAAAAAGAAAAAGAGAAAGAGAAAAAAAAGAGAAAGAGAAAAAAAGAGAAAGAAAAAAAAAGAGAAAGAGAAAAAGAGAAAAAAAGAGAAAGAGAAAAAAAAGAGAAAGAGAAAAAAAGAGAAAGAGAAAAAAAGAGAAAGAGAAAAAAGAGAAAGAGAAAAAAAAGAGAAAGAGAAAAAAAAGAGAAAGAGAAAAAAAGAGAAAGAGAAAAAAGAGAAAGAGAAAAAGAGAAAGAGAAAAAAGAGAAAGAGAAAAAAGAGAAAGAGAAAAAGAGAGAAAAGAGAAAAAAAAAAGAGAAAAGAAAAAGAGAAAGAGAAAGAGAAAAAAGAGAAAGAGAAAAAAAGAAAAAGAAAAAAAAAAAAAAAAAAAAAAAGAAAAAAAAAAAAGAAAAGAAAAAAAGAAAAAAAAGAAAAAAGAAAAAAGAAAAAGAAAAAAAAAAAAAGAAAAAGAGAAAAAAAGAAAAAGAAAAAAGAAAAGAGAAAAAAGATAAGAAAAAGAAAAAAAAGAAAAGAAAAGAAAAAAGAAAAAGAGAAAAAAAAAAGAAAAAAGAGAAAAAAGAAAAGAAAAAAGAGAAAAAAGAAAAAAAAAAAGAGAAAAAAGAAAAGAAAAAAGAGAAAAAAGAAAAGAAAAAAGAGAAAAAAAAAAAAAGAAAAAAGAAAAGAGAAAAAAAAAAAAAAAAAAAAAAAAAAGAGAAAAAAAAAAAAGAAAAAAAAAAAGAAAGAAAAGAAAAAAAAAGAAAAAAGAAAAGAAAAAGAAAAAAAAAAAGAAAAAGAAAAAAAGAAAAAAGAAAAGAAAAAAAAAAAAAGAAAAAAGAGAAAAAAGAAAAGAAAAAAGAGAAAAAAGAAAAGAAAAAAGAGAAAAAAAGAAAAAAAAAGAAAGAATTATTTTAAATATTATCTTAGAGATTTACTTACACACACAGTCCTGTGAAAAAGTGTGTATGTGTGTGTATATATAAAAAAAACAATGATCCTAGACAAAAGTGCCAGGAAATAAAATTCAAAGCACAGGGCGCACAGATATATTGATCCATACATAGTATCTGTCAAAAAAAACAAACAAAAAAAACAAAAAAAAAAACATACCAATACATGCAAGATAAACTAAATTTGCATAAAACTAGCAGATGGGATAGTGATTATAAAAAAAAAAAAAGGGGTGAGAAGGGGGGGGGATAGGAACGTGGTTTTGTCAAAGTTTAAGACATCTCCCATCATTTTTTAATCCGACTCGCAACAATGTCTGTGCATATTTTAAATCTAATATTCTATTTTATGCATAATGTCAAATTAAATAGCAGATAAACTAAACAATACTCCCAAATTACAACAGCCAAACTGTTGAAAACCCTAAACTGCCATTTTTTATGTCATTTACCGCAAACCGTTTGTGTAGATAGCCTTTTTTTCTTTTTTTTTTTTAATTATAATACTAATAGCTATTTTTTACAGCCAACCCGTCACTTTTAAATATATTTTAACCGGTGGTTCCATAGAGAGGAAAAAAAAAAAGAGAGAGAGAGAGAGAGAAATCGAACTTAAGGAACATTCCAAGATGCGAGCATCAAAAAGAAAATATAAAGAAAAAGTTTATGGAAAGAAAAAAAAAAAAGTCTTTGAACTAAAAAAGTAGGAATGTTAAAAAAGTGTAAAAGTTATAAAATAAAATACCAAACTTAGAAAAATAGAAAGAAAACTAACGTTACTCTATCTTTAAAAATAGATAATAAAAAAAAATTGATTTGATTTTGAAATATTTATTTAAAAAAGGAAAAAGATTGAGAGGGGGAATAATTGTCGAATTGTTGAACATGAACAATCCTAGCACATATTTCCCAAAATGTAATTTGACGAGTAACGATAAAGAGAGTATGACTACTACTGCTAGTGACTAGTATCAACAATAAAAATGTCCTAAAACAAGGTTCTTTCCTTTTTTGGTCATTTCCCCCCAGCCATTCACATATGCCGGTCAGGAGATTATTTCTGCCCTACAATTCGCATCCTGTTTGGGGAGAAACAAGTTGTCGCAGGTTGCAAATAGTTGAGATTACTAAGTATTTTTCTCTGTAACGTTCCTCTGATGCTGGGCTTTGTCAACTGGCAACCCAAGTGCCAAAACAAGAGAACAAGTCAGAAATAAGAGTAAGATACGAGAGCAGTCAATTTGAATTATCAGATAATATAAATTAAAAATAATAATAAAAATAAATCTTAAAAACTTGCTAAACCCAGAAATAAAAATGCAATTTCTAAAAAGCAGAAGTTTATCACTGTGATGTTGGGGATGATGATACGCCAAGATATTTTTTTTTTACGGAAAGTGTTTTTTTTTTTTTTTTGGACAATAAGATCACGTGACTTTACTCATTTAAGAACGGGCAACGAAAGTAACTTGCGCAAAGGAAAGACGCTTCTATGTAACGTTTAGGAGTGTGTGGGAGGGCATTTTTAGTTAAGTTCCTGTACATTTTTTATTATTT